AAACCATGATCTTATCATGAGATAAAATGCAGGCAAAAAACTCCCTGTCCATATATGAACAACTGTACTGCTTCTCTAGATAAACTGTAAACAATAAAATAGTTTGACCCTTACCTTGCTGGGAATTTTCTACTCCCTCTTCCTTCAAGGATTTTTCAAGAAATGGTAAGGGTTGAGCAGCATTTGCCATTTCTTTAGCTTGTATGTACTGTTGAAGCTCTTTGGCAAAACTATCTTCTGATACAGGACTGCAGATATCATTATCACTACATATATCATAGTCTTTACTTCTTGATTTTCTACGCAGTAAACTCTTCGGTGATGTAGAGTTTCCAAAGTGCCTAAACTAAATAAAAATTAAATTTTCAATTTTAAAAATCTAGCATGATTCAAAACAATCTTGTTATACAGAAGAAACAAGATTGGTCATGAATGGTTGAAGTTGGGTAATGAATAAGTGGGTTCATATACTATTCTCTCCACTCTTACATATTTGAAAATTTCCGGAATTAAAAACAAACAGACGAGCATGACATATCCATCCTTAAAGATAATTTGAGAGAAGATTTTGAATCTGTATGTTATATGTATTTTACTGAACTAAAAGTCTAAACTCCTAAGTCTTAATTATTTGACATAAGGGGATTACAGTATAATAGTTCTCACACTGCATTTCTTCCTTTGCACTGACAATATTTTTAAACATCTTGATTGAATAATTCTTCATTTCTTAAAACACCAAGTAAACTGTAATGGCCCAACTGAAAATCCACTTACACTTAAGATATTACACCTACCAAAGTCTACTCTTTCTCCTGTAACTCACAATATAGGTGGCAGCAATGATGACAAGGAAGAAAGAACTGCCCTGTTCTCTGTAATCAAGTTAACTTTACTTTCAGAAATAATTTTCTAAGTCTGTTGTTGAAGATGCCCCAAGGCAACAGTGGAGAACCCAAGCATCCACTGGAACCAAAACCCAAATATGGGAGCTGATTCTGGAAGAGCCCAAGATGATCATAGCAGATGACTTAAAGTAATTTCTATATAAAAATGTCCAAGTATTGGTTACACAGGTGTCTACATTTGGTGACACAGGTGTATCAAGCTGTATAATTATAATTAGTATGTATGATACATTTTAGTCAAAAAGTTTATTTTTTTTAAAATGACCAAATACCAAATACCTATTCTGACGTCAGGAAGAAATGATATTCCTATCATTACATTGGCCAATGATCTTGCTCCAAAGAACGCTCTGGGACCTGGTCTCTTACCTACTTTCACAGGACAACTGACTAACGCAGCAAACTCAAAACAAATAAAAAACCAAAACAAAACAGAAGAATCACTATTATAAAATACAAAAAACAGAATTAAAAGATAATATGATTATTTCCATGAACTCTGTGAAGTACCCTCATACACTAGGTGGTCCAATTTAACGGTTTATCTCTGACGGTTTACTTCAAAGCTAGGAGTCACACCACCAGAGGATGGTTGTAAAATTTCCATGAACTCTGTGAAGTACCCTCATACACTAGGTGGTCCAATTTAACGGTTTATCTCCGATGGTTTACTTCAAAGCTAGGAGTCACACCACCAGAGGATGGTTGTAAACCTAGAAAATGAACTTCCTCCCTGCTTAAAGAATCCAAACAAGCTGAGTAAGTTTCTTGATCTGACAATGGCTTCAATGTACACCTTATCTTCATTACACCAGATATAAGACTACCAACCAATCTAACAATCTTCAGGCCACCAAGTTCCTGGTCTCCAAGTCTTCCAGAAAGAGTACCTTTTTCCAACTAATACCATAGAATAAATCTGCAAATATAACTTCTGGACTGATAGATTAGGGGCCAGCAAACCTCAGCCTGGAGTTGTGCTTTTGCAAATAAAGTTTTACTGGAACACAGTCACATCCATTCATTTACGTATTCTCTTAGTTGTGCCTAGTTGGGACAAAGACAATATGGCCCATAAAGTCAAAAAGACTCACTACCTAGTCCTTTAGGAAAAAACTGGCAGACTCCAGTAATAGATTACGATGTTTACATTGGTTTTGGACTTTATTTAATGGGCATGGGGGGAACCAAAAAGACCATTCAATATACAGAAGCTCCCATGCAGTTTAGCTTAATCAAATACAGATGAGGTTCTGTTCAGTGTATCTGAATTAAAATATTACAGTGATCCAAATGGATGATCCAAATATGCCCCCCACTTGCACAAAAACATGTAGGCCTGCTGTACTGAAGCAGACTCAAATTTAATACTGTATTGAATGAAGACATGAGATGATTTAGCAACATTAATGAAACCAGGAAAATCATCAATCATGTTGTTTTATTATATAGAAGAGATGATCACTACTAATGATTTTTTTCAGAGGGCACCAAAATATATAAAATACAAATGATTGAATACTTTTCTTCATTTAGCTAGCTATAAACTCATTGGTACAGTTTGTTGTTTTTTGTATAATTTAGAAACTACACAAACATGATATTACAACCCTTCCCTTGTTTTGTAGAGGAGTCTAAATAAAGTAGTATTTTTTTTTCCAAGCAGAAAATTTTCTTGATTTTGATTCAGAATGGTTTATTCAACTATGTGGCCTCTTGCCACCACACAAGAAAAAAGTACAGATAACAGTATGCATGTGTATGGGGGGTATGAAGTGCATTCATCATTAATTCAGAGAGTTCGACAAATTTTTAATAACAAAAAAAGGATGTTATGCTCTGGAGATTAGGTTTAGTTTGGAATGTGAGAAATAGGGCTATAAATAAGGATGAATTAAAATTCTACACAAAAGCAAACAAAGCTATTAAAACAAATTCTCTCTGCCCCACCCCTCACCGAAACACAATCAACCAAGATCTGGTAAAAGCTAAGACTTCACAGAAGGGGAGCTGGCTGGTTAGCTTGGCTGGTTAGAATGTGGTACTGATAACACAAAGGACCGGGATTCGACCCTGTACCAGTCAGCAGCGAAAAAAAAAAAAAAACTTCACATGTGGGTACTAAGGCCATCCTCATATGGGTACTAAGTCTTCCACATACTGGCACTTGGGAGTAACCCCTACCAGAAAAATACTCTGTTCTACACACCCTAAAGCAGGGTTTGTTACCCTGCTGTCCAGAGACACCCCCAAGAGTCTATGGATTGAATTCAGAAAATTCACTGAAAAAAAATAAAAATTAAATAAAAATTTTAAAAAAGAATATTCAGTGAACTTAGATGGGAAGAAAATCACATATTTTCATCAACCTCTAAACTGACATTTAGTACTTTCATCTGTTTTAAACATAGAAAACAACCCATAGAAGTATAAGCAATACCTGTGACTGTCACTAATACAAATCACAGGTATTTTCATATATCATATTACAGTTGTTGCAGATTAAAAATGTCATGTACTTAAAGGTAGAGTTAGATGTGGATTATTTTACCACAAATAAGCAAAGCATTGTGGTTATTACATACTGATAATATAGTAGTGCTAGAACAACACGATATATGTTGATATTACATTAAGCATTCATCACAGTATTCCCAACTTGCAAGAAAAATAAGTTTTAACAGAAAATGTAAAACAGATTATTTCCTCACAGCTTTCTTTCTTTACAGAAATAAAAATGAAAAGAAGGCTACAATCAAAGTAAGTTTCTGAGTGGCTCATTTGTTAGCCAATCTAAGCAAGCTGACGTTGGGTTAATTAAATCATGTTTAATTGCAGCAGCTGAAAAAATATGTCCAGAGGAAATAAAGTTAGTTTAAGACAACTGGCCTTTTGGCAAAAACAGTTGGTCAAAGACATGAGGAAATTGGAAGGAACTTCAGCAATGATTTCAAGTAGTTTTTCTTGGTTCTTGATGAGCTGACAGAAGTTACTGAAACTGCTCAGCATCACTGCACTGTCCAAAATTAAAACAGGAGCAAGATCACCATTCCCACACTAATTCGCAGCAGACATATTTTCCACACTCAAACTACAGTTCCAGCAGTGGTTTTTTTTTTAGACATTACTGTATATACAAAGGAAACTGCCATTTTAAAATCCATTTACCTGTACAACTGAGGAGCTTCCACCTAACCTTCAGTTGGAAATGATTAATCTGCAATGTAACATGCAAAAAGACAACTCTCAAGAGAAGAATCTAAAAAAGTTCCATAAATGCCTTCCAGCCAATGAATATGCTAACTAAGATCATATGCTGGTAAACTGATATCAGTATTTGGTAATACCTATCTGTAGTGAAAAGATATCTTCAGAGATGAAATAGATAAAATCTCACTACATATCAGCATAACAGATTAATCTTTTCAATCAATTTTGATAGGGAGCAGTAACTTTAAACCCCAATTAAGTAAATAATTATCCCACAAAGAAGAATCCCATTCTTGTCATTAGTAGACCTGTACTACAAAAACTCAATTATTATTGTATGTTAAATTTTGTCAATAAAAAATTGTGGAAATTTGTTTTCTCTCTTTCATTACATAAGTACCTATGCAATATCCTCAATTTTGCTTCTTGGCTTGAAAAGCTTAAAGTATTTGCTATCTTGTTCTTTAGAGAAAATGCTTATTGACCCCTGATCTAGAAAATATAATCAAAAAGCAGAAAAAAACTGATCTAGAAGAAGTAAATATAATTCAAGGAAAAAGAACTCAAAAATTAAAAAATAAATATACAAGGATATTCAAGATATTATATTCAAAAAACAATGCTAGAAAGCTATAACAACGAAAAAGAACAAGAGGGAGCTCTTAAATACTTAAACTATAATTGATTTATGACATAATGATAGAGGAAATTTCTCAGAATGTAAGAAAAAAGACAAAAAAAAAAAATAAAAGAGAACCTATATCTCATATATGAAGTATGTGAGTAAATAGTCTCACCACAATAGCACTAAGCACAATGAATGAATAAAGATTCAGTCTCATACAATTTAACAACACCAAGCATAAAAAGAAGAACCCAAAAGCTTTCAGAGAGAATTGGATACTTACAAAGGAAGAGAGAACTGTATACTTACAAAGGAAATAGAATCAAACTGTTAAGACCTCACCTTTGCAACAAGAGATAGCAGACACCAATGGAGCAATAACCTCAAACTTAACTCTATTTCAGCCAAACTATCTATCCTATGAGGATCAATTCAAGATATTTTCAGAAATATCTTAAAATACTAACAAGAACTTAAAAATGTATGTCCCATGCACTCTTAAATAAGGTGTATGCCAACCGAGAAACCCACTGGGAAAATGATACTTTAAATAAAAGATGTAATTTACAATAGCTTCATTAAACACCTAGTAATAAATGTCACAAAAGGTGTGTAGATGTAAGATACCTAAAAAGAGAACTATAAAACACTGTTGAGAGAAATTTAAGAAGACCTAAAGATTGCACAACTCAATATTCTAAAGATTTCAATTCTCTCCCAAAGGATCTATAAATTGACTAAACCAGTACCAAAAATCTGTGGGAAACTGAAGTTAGTTTCTCCGTGTCAACCTCAGATCTTGTCTATGGCAACTGTACATGCGCGGAAGAGTTGCATCTCAGGAGATGAGAGGCTCCCCAAGGAGATGAAGATGCTGTACTTGCTGTATCTTCTGTCCTGTATCCTTTTATAAAGCTAAGTAAGAGTATCCTATTAAGGCCTATTTATGTCTTATGAATCTCACTGCCAATTCAAACCCATTCTTCTGTAGTGTATTAAAACTCATAATTATAAAAAAAGTTCAAAAAGAGAAAGAGGCAAGAGAGGAGAAGATATTGGTTATGGGTTGAACTGCGTCCTCCCAAAATTCTTATGTTGAAGCCTCACCCCCCTACCTCAAAATATGATCTCATTTGGAAACAGGGCCATTGCAGGTGTAATTAAGATGAAGTCATTAGCATGGGCCCTAATCCAACATGACTGATGTTCTGATAAAAGGGAGAAATGTAGATAGTCACAGGCACACAGGGAAAACATGTGACCATGAAGGCAGAGATCAGGCTGATGTTTTTGTAAGCCAAGGAACACCAAAGATTACCAGCAATCCACCAGAAGCTAGGGGAGAGGAATGGCACAGATTCTTCCTCACAGCCTCAGAAGGAACCAACTCTGCTGATACCTTGTTCTCAGACTTCTAGCCTCCAGAACAGTGAGACAATAAATTTCTGCTGTGTAAGCCACCCAGTTTGTGGTACTGTTATGACAGCCCTAGAAAACTAACATAGGCTTTAAGCTATAAATCACTAAGCTCGGTTAAGTTAGCAAATCAGAACCCTTAAAAATTTTAATCTAACTTGAAAGTAAAGAAGTTTTGAAACAGTTTACAATCCATTTCAGAAATAGGGAAAATCAAAATAAAAGCAATTACTAAAAACATTTCATGTTAAATGACAACAAAGGTATTGAATGATAAATTTTTCAAAACGTGTAATTAAGTTTCCTTGATGTAAGTAACTGGGTCCCAAAAGCTGACTAAAATGAAAAAACAGGATCCCTCATTAATTCCTCACATCCATTCCTATCTGTTTTTTTAGTATGCCAACTTTATCTTACTTTTTTGGGAATTTGCTCACACTCCAGTTTTACTTCCCATTTTATTTTCTCTTCTTGTGTTTCTTCAACTTCTGTATCATCTATTTCATCATCGATTCTGCAGCAAAAATATCAAATAACACAAAAGGGTTTTTTCAACCTGAAAAGGGTTCATACCACAGCATTAAAATTCACTGCTTTGACTTGTCTCCAAATTGCCCTCAAAGAAATTCCAAAGTCAAATTCTATCCAAATACTCCAGAGAAATAATGTATAAAATTATGATGAGTAGTAAATGTCAATACGTTTATGAATAACTTATAAAACTGAAATTTTAGATTACATAACCTTAATGTTCAAGTATCAGCAGCTATATAAATCATCCATTCATCCATCATTCCATTCATTCAACAAATACTGAGCATCCACCATAAACCAGGCTCTGGGCCTTACATCCTGGTATATAACAATAAAAAGACAGACCTTGGGAGGAAAAAAAAATAGAACAATTTCATTATGGTGTGATAAGTGTAGGTGCATATGTAAGGAACACCTAACCTAGACTTGGGGGTCAGGGGCTTTCTGAACCTAAAAGGTAAGTAACTTATTAAACAAAGAGGAATGTAAGGGAGAAGGCATTCTTCTGAGCTTAGGACAGACACAAACATATTCAAGTGTGAAGATGAAAAGAAAAATTGTTTTCAGACTCAGGACCAAGAAGTTGACCATGCATAGACATCATCTGAGATGATTACTTGAGGATATTCCAGCAAAACTAAAAATGAACCCAAGAAAGATGAAGACAGGAAATACAAGAAACTGGTGAACAAAGAAGCCAATAAAATTTGTAGGTGAATCTAAATAATGGTTGATGCTAGCAATTTGGGGTACTGAAGAAAACAGTGTTTCAGTAAGCAGTGACTACTAAATACAAGACTGGAAAAAGGTTTGAATTAAAAATATGAGTTACTGGCCAGGCAAAGGCCACACTTGGCAATGTGTCCATTCTCCAGAGAACATGTTACAAGTGGAAAGCACTGCTAGCACAAGGAAAATGTGAATAGTGGCTTTGTGCTTCTTTCAAAGTTACAGGAACTCAGGCTTCAAGGCTTCATCCAACTCAACAGTTTACATTGACCTCAGTGCTTCTGAGTTACATCCACCAGATGAGGTACCAAGTTGTGAGCCCTCTGCAGAAGCCATCATTACAAGGGCCAAAAAAACCAAATACTTGTGAACCTGTATTGCTTTAGTTTCCAGTAATGAATCGTCTAATGGAGTAGGAGGCAACCTCCCCTTACGCTGAGCATTAATGACAATAACAACTACAACAGCAAACATAGCAGTAGCCAACACTTGAATAATGCTTATACGTGCCAGGCGCTGCTCCATTCATGTTACACTCATCACAACACCACCAAGACATACGTAGTACTGTTGAAAAGCCCATTTTACAGATAAGAAAACCAAATTACAGAAAGGTTGTGTAACTTGTCAGAGACCTAGGTGGAGCTGAGATTTCAGCCCAGGCAGACAGGCTCCCAAGTATGTACCCTAAAACCACACCCTATTATTCCATACTGCCCACTCTAAACAGGTGTCCACTTTCCCCACTCCACTGTTAAGGTCCACAATTCTCAGTGCCCATGCTACCTGACCTATCAGCAGGATGTGACTGAGCTATCACCCTCCTCTCTGTAAAACACGTTCTTTACTTAGCTTCAGGGACACTGAGCTCTCCTGGTTTCTTCTTCCCTCACTGGCTGCTACTTCTCAGTCTCCTTTTCTGGATCCTCATCTTTACAACTCTAAAAGTCAGTCCTTACACCTCTTCTCTTCTTTGTCTGTACCATCATTCTAGGTTATCTCCTCATATCTCATGGCTTTGAATATCTCAACATCCAAGTCTCCAACCTAGACCCCTCCCCTTAAAACCAAACAGAGCCAACTTCCTATTCAACTTCTCTACCTGGATGTCTACCAGACATAATCGTAATATATTCAACACTGAACTCTTGATCAGAAACTTCTCTCTGAAACCTAATCCTCCTGCTATCCTAAACAGCAACTCCATCCCTCTAACAATACTGCCCAAAACCTTAAAGTCATCCAATCTGACGAAATCCAGTTTGTACTATCTTCAAAACATACATATATTTGACCACTTTTTGGCACAAATTCAACAATCCAAGCTGCCCTTGTTCCCCTACATTCTACTCTCAACACAAGAATGATCCTGCTAAAATATGTCAGATATCACTCCCTCCAAAAACCTTCCAATGGCCTCTCATCTTATTCATAGTAAAACCCGAAGTCCTTATTATCATGACACCTACTAGTCCCTACATAATCTGCCTCCCGCAACCCCATCCCAATACCTCTCAGACTTCAAGTCCTACCATTCTTACTTCACTCCAGTAGTCATTCTGGCCAATTTTCTCCTGCCCCACAATCACATCGAGCTCATTCTGCTTGAAGACCTTTACACAGAACACCCCTCCTCCCCCATATCAACCTCCCTCACCTTTCAGGTCCCTATTCAAATGTTAGTTGCCAGTGTTATCAGTGAGGCTTTCCTTAACTACCTTCTTTAAAGTAGTTACAGCCTACCATCCCACCAGACTTCTTTTCCCCCTACCCTGCTTTCATTTTATCCATGGCATTTAACATTACTTAAAACACTATATATTTATGTATTATCTGTCTCCCCTTCCCCCAATAATGTAAGTTTCATAAAAATGGGAGTTTTATCTCTTTTGTTCATTTATTGCTATATCCCAGGGCCTAGAATAATGTCTCCTACACAGCAGGTATTCAACAATATTTTTTGAATGAACAAATGAGTAAGCATTTCTAACAAAAAATTACTTAGAAAAAAAAAGAAACCATCAGAGAAAAGACCGCTTCATCTGCATAAAACAAAACTATAAAACCCCACACCTTCATGAACTGAAAAATAATACCATAAGCAAAGTCAAAAGTCAAATGACAAATTGAGAGTAAAATATTTGCAGGCAAGAAATCCTAAAATTTGAAAGAGAAAAGACCAACAAGCAAAGAAAAAAGTGGGCAAATGATATGAACAGACATTTCACCATATTTCATACCACCCTTGACCTATTATTCTGGCAAAATTCCAAGTGCCTTTTATGTATTTCAGCCAAGTCTTTGTAAATGGATCTTTTGTCCAATACATTTTCAAACTGATGGCTGTTACTGGTTTTTTATATGTTGCTACTGTCTTTTTTGGGATGATTCACCTTGCTGAATTGTATTATGTATTTTAATTATTAATTGGGTCCTCTTGTTTTTCTTAGTAGATGATCATACGATCTGCAAGTAATTAACGTTTTTGTCTCTTCCCAATATTTATAGGTCTTATTTTATTTTAGTCATTTTGTACTAGAAGCTCCACGGTGAAATTATGGGTCCTGGAGTCAGAAAGGGCAACTTAATTCCAGTTTAACCATTTACACTGTGCAATCCTGGCAGATTACTTAACCTCTCTGTGCCTCAGTTTTCTCATTTGTAAAACAAGGACACCATCTTCAAGGTTGTTGAGAAGACTAAATTCCATATTTCGTGGAAAGCACATGGTAAAGTTCTTGATGGCGGCCTGAATTAATGAAATAGTTTCAATTAAGGTATTTGAGACAGAGAGAAATGAACAGATGTGAGTGATATCTAAAGGTAAAAATCAACCAGAATCCAAGATATATGTGGAATGAGGGAGATAAAGAAATAAGGAATGTGTGTCAAGGTTTCAGCTTAAGGGAACACAGAAGACGTAGATTTTTAGGAGAGAAGATGATTTTTAGCACTTCAAAGTCAAAGAATAAAAAGTAAACAAATATCTGGGTATAAACAAACTGCACTATATCCGTCTCCAAGAATGAGCTCAACAAATTAGCTCCATTTGGCCAGCAATCTTATTTCCTTTTCCAACTTAAAGTAAAAATTAAGTCCAAATGGTGTTTGTTGCTTTAAGATATTTTGATGCAAATCAGTGGACTAGTTGCAGGGCATTCACTACTAATCTTTTACCGTTTATTGAACTTGTGGTTTCGTCTTTTCTACAAAAAAGAGCCTAGCATGTGTCACTGGGAAAGGACAAATGATTTCCGTCCCTTGGGAGCTTATGGTCAAATGGAAGCTGGCAAAAGGCTAAGTCCCAGTGCTATGGGAACACAGATGATGGCTCTTAAACCGTCCTAGAGGGGCAGGTGCGCAGAAAATGGGGAGCAACCTGGAGGCTCCTCACCCCCACCCCGATAGCTCCCCTCGCCCAGGCTCTCGGCACCCCTGGCCTTAGCGGCCTATGAACTGGGCCCCATCTCCGATTTCCATCCTCCCCGCACGACCTCTCGACGTCCGACTGTAGCGCCCGGCCAGCCCGGCCCACGCGCTCCCCGCGGGCCCTCGCCGCGGCCCGGACGCGGCCCCAGGCAGCCTCCAATCCAGAAGGAACGGAGAGGCGGAGCCCAGCCAGGGACCCTACATTTAAAGGATGAAAAGATGTGGGATCACCTTTCGTCAGAGTCCGTGGCCGGTTTTTTGCCGAGGGCCGGATTGGGGGGTCTTGAGAAAAGATTCTCAAAATCCATAACCCAGGCGAAGGCCTGCGTCCCGCGAGCTGGGTAGCTACAGGGTAACAACCAGAGCGGATGAAGAGCCCTTCAGGTCCTCTCCAAATGCCGCAGTTTCCGCCCGGCGCACGCGCCCCTCGCCCCGCGCACGCGCCGCGCCGCCCTCCGCGACTCTGCGCACGCCCGCTCTCGTTCCCGCCTCAGCGGCTCTGCGCAGGCGCAGGCGCCGTAGTTATGCTATATACACTTCTATGCTCTTTTTCGTCCGTTTTCTGAGCTGTTTAGTAGAATTTTTTAAACTTAGTTCTTAGGATTCTCCTTTCTTCCATTTTGGTAAAAACTCTTCGTTCGAAATCACAATATTTCTAAGGGACGGTAGCAACAGCTGACATTTATTTGAGCACCCTACTACCTTTCTTTAGAAATAACGGTTCAAGTTTTAGCTGACTTAATCCTCCTAACAGTCCTAAATGATGTGTATTGTTACCACCTATATTTTTCAGATGAATAAACAGAAGTATAGACAGGAAATGTAACTGGTAGGGTTTCTACAATTGAGATTAAAATGTATATTTAATACACAAGTAACTTAAAGGCAGAAAATCCCATTAAAAATACCAAGTGCTGAGAGGATTCAGAAGAGGGAAAAAAGCACATACAGCTGAGAAAGCTTCTTGAAAGGGATTTGAGCTGGATCTTAGCTCCACAGGAAGAGATGAAGTTAGGGGTAAATGGACATCCCAAGTAGAGAGAACTATATGAAGGCAAGAAAATATGTCACACGTTTGGTAAACAGGGAAATGTTCAGTTTTCCTTAATGTAATGCCACATAAGGGAATAGTAGAAAGGAAGCCTCAAACTATAGTTTGAGCCAGTGACAGAGAACCTTATGGACATCCCAAGTAGAGAGAACTATATGAAGGCAAGAAAATATGTCACACGTTTGGTAAAGAGGGAAATGTTCAGTTTTCCTTAATGTAATGCCACATAAGGGAATAGTAGAAAGGAAGCCTCAAACTATAGTTTGAGCCAGTGACAGAGAACCTTACTTGCTTCTGTAAGTCAGGGTTTTTGACTGTTTGGCTTCTGGTTTGAATTATGGTCCACTCCACAGACAAGTGATGGGGATTCTCTGAAACCGGACATCTTCCCCAGGGAAATTCTACTTTTCCCCATTCATACTACTCGTAAGGCAATCACCTTCTTTTGTACATAAATCATTACTAAAAATCGAGAGAAAAATTGAATTAAGGAGATTAAAAACTAGTAGCACCCTCTGCTTAGAGGACAGAACTATATTATAAAACTCAAATTATTATCATATATACTATTTAATATAAAAATGTTCAGCATACAGCAAAAGATAACAGACACAAAAGTAAATTAGACTGATAGGTAAAAAACAGCCAAAATATCAAACAAAAAAAAGGACCTGCAAAGGCATCAGATACCAGCATTTTCAGATAAAGATTATAGAAAGCTACATGTTTTTGTGGTAGACTGACTTCAAAAATGGCCACAAATTCTTCAGTCTTCCTTGTATCCACATCCTTTGCAATATGACTTTTCAGCTCCTCCCATAAAGAGGTAGAATCTATTTTACCTCCTCCTTATTTTTATTTATTTTTCATCTTTCAAACGGTTTATTGTTCACTCTTGAAAACGCACCAGTTTGTGAGGACAGAGCAGGTCCAGCCTGGGGCCCACTGCCCAGTGCAGCATTTCCAAGCCCCCAGTGTTCACCTCCTCTTTAATCTGAATTGACTTTGGCTACTAGAATTAAGGTGAAATAGCCTGTTAATACCAATCTAGGCCCCAAGAAGCCTTCTATGTTTCTGTTCTTTTGAACTCCTGCCTTCCTCAGGACAATAATCCCAGGCTACCCTGCTGAAAATAAGAAAGAGACATGTGGCGAATAAGACTAAAGGAGGAGAGTAAAAACACTCAGCCAACAGTTAGCAAACCCCTAAAAGCAAAGCCACCTAGCCAACACACAGTTGACCACAGACATATGATGGATTCCAGCAAAGAAATGACAAACCTCCTAGATAATCCCAGTCCAAATTACTAACCCACAGAACTGTGAGCTAAATAAACGGTTGTTGTTGAAAGCCACCAACTTTTAAAGTAGTTTGTTATACAAAAATATCTAACTAATAAAAAGGAAACTATAAAAAGTAACAGAGGAATGAGGGAAAAAAACAAGTGAATCTTGTAGAAATTAAAAATTCATTGGATGGTGTGGTAGTTTTAAAATATGTTCATAAATTCTTCAACACTTCTTCCTTCGAGAAGTGGAGACTTAGTTCCCTTGTCTTAAATGTGGACAGGACTTACTGACTCACTTATTACAAGTATAATGTGGCAAAAGTGAGGGTGTATGATTTCTGAGGCCAGGTTGTAAAAGACATGGCAGTTTCTGCCTTACTGTCTTGGGTCATTTCCGTGGAGGGAAGCCAGTCACCCTGTTATGAAACACTGAGGCTGCCATGTGAGTGAGGCACTTTGGAAGCAGTTCTTTCAGCATTAGATGAGCCAGAAGACATGTTGACTACAGCCTCTTGAGAGACTCTGAGACAGAACCACCCAGCTAAGCTGCTCCTGGATTCCTGACCCACAGAGAATTTAATAAGATCAATGTTTATTGTTTTAAAGCACAAAGTTTTGAGGTAGTGTGCTATGTAGCAATAGATAAGTGATGTTCCCTATCATTATAAGGCAGCTGGTCTAAACACGTAATTATCATATGATTCAGCAATTTCACTCCTTATATATAGCCAAAAGAACTGAAAATACGAACTCAAATGTATATTTGTACCTTCATGTTCATTGAAGCATTATTCACAATAGCCAAAAGGTGGAGACAACCCAAGTGTTCATCCACTGATGATGAACGGATAAACAAAATGTGGTATATACATACAATGAGATATTATTCATCTGTAAAAAGAAATGAAGTTTTGATGCATACTGCATCATGGCTGAACCTTGAAAACAGTATACCAAGTGAAATAAACCAGACTCAAAAGGACAAATATTGTATGATTCCACTTGTGTGAAATATCTAGAGAAGACAAATTCATAGATACAGAAGGTAATATATTAGAGATTACCAGGGGCTGAGAGAGAGGAAAATGGGAGTTATTGCTTAAGAGTTACAGAGTGTCTGTTTGGGGTGATGGAAAATTTGAAACACATAATGGTGATGGTTGCACAATAGTGTGAATATAACTAATTCCACTGAATATGTACACTTAAAAATGGTTGAAATGGCAAACTTTATGTCATATATATTTTACCATGATTAAAAAAAAAAGAAAGCACCTGGCATGATAAGATAGTGTAATGGCCTCTTGAGGACTCCGGTTACAGCACTATCTTGGTGCAATACCTTGTAGGCATATGCTACAAATCAGCAATCATTAATTTATGGTGCTCTTTCTCCCATAATCAGGATTCATGGGGTCTGGGAATCAAGGGGTCTGGGAATCGTAGGAGTAAATCCTCTCCATGTTATCCCTAGTGATACCCTAGAAAAAATTTTGCTTCCTATACCCACAGCTTTGGGCTCTACTGATTTAGGGTAGGGTTTTTCAACCTCAGCATTATTGTCATTTTGGGTCAGATAATTTTTTGTTACTGGAGACAGTCTTATACACTATAGAATGTTTAGCAGCATCCCTGGTCTCTACCACTAGGTGTCAGTAGCACCTGCTCCCCAGTTGTGGCAACCCAAAAACGTCTCCAGACATTGCCAAAATTGTCCCCAGTTGAGAGCCACTGGTCTAGAGTTACCAATTCCAAAAGTAGGAATGCTTTCATTGAGGGACATGACAATGACTCCATTAACCTTGAAGATGAGACTGCCATTTCGCCACTTAGGGGTCTTCAGGCTAGAGAACAGGTAAAGAAGGGACTTACTAAACTGGCAGGGGTGATTAATTCTCTCAAGTTATCCTGACTACACAATGAGGTTAAGGAAGAATATGTTTAGAATGTGGGAAACTTCCTGGGGGGTAGAAGGCAGCACTAAGTAACCCTATATCCTATGATTAAAGTTGATAGAAAACAACACGACAGGCAGCACTTCTAATGGCCCAAACCCTACAGGAATGAAGGTTTGCTTACCCACCAAGCAAGGAGCCAAGACCAGCCGAGGGAACAGGGAACATGGCAAACAGTAAAGGCAGAAGGTAGTTATACAAACACCAACTACAACCACATGACTGGTAGCAAAAATGATTGTAATAGTTATGAATGTTTCATCCTTAATTTGATATAAATTTGTATATATATATATGTGTGTGTGTACGTGTAGAAGTGAGGGAACTTCAAAAGTTCATGGAAAAATAAAATTGAAAGGTAATATGAATCTTTCATGAACTTTTTGTTTATTTTTTTTCCTTTTTGTCTTTTTTCGTGTCCGGCAACGGATCGCAACCCTCAGTGTCGCGCCCGTACTGGACTGGGACCGGCAACGGGATCGCAACCCCCAGTGCTACACCCGCATCTCGCTCAGCCAGTGAGCGGGAACCGGTCTGTATGTGGGATCCGAACCCTCGGCGGGAGCTCCGCCACACTCCCAAGCAGCGCACTGTAGCAGTGCACCACCGGGCCGGCCCGAATGAACTTTTTGAAGTACCTTTACATATATATTTAAAATCTTCCCCCTCTCATTTCCCTACTATCTAACACAAGATATATTAATAGTAGTTAACTTTATATCTCATTATTAAAATTAAATGATATGAAAGGAGGTGTGTGACTGAGCTAAAAGAATAATTAGAAGAAGAATGAACATCACCCAAAGGTGGAAAAGGGACTTTTTATTCCTTATAGAGAGAAGGGTTAGCATGTTTTTGGATGTTAGCATGTTTTAGATGTGGGATAGTTGAGTCATGTTAGGTAGAGGCATGACTTTGCTATTGTCTTCATCTGGAAGCTAAGTTTAGGTTAAAGAGGTACATATGGATGCCTAGTTGAAAAGTGTCTAGTTGGTGATTTTGAAATTTGTCATATTGGCTAGGCCAAACTGTGTTTTCCAGGATTCCTATCCTGTGTATTTCCATTTAGGGTGACCATAAAAGAGATTTTGCACAAAATTTGGAAGGTA